CAAGAAACGATGTTCTCATAACTTGCAAAGAGGTCACCCAGCGTGGTGGTCAGCGGATAATTACAGTATTTTCCCACAGTAAAATAATATTTTTAGACTTTTTAGAAGCAAGAAGCGAACCGACAGAGGAAATCAGAAATGCTTAAAAAATTGAAAAAAATAATATCATGCATCTTTGTTTTTCTTGAATATCGTATTTGTCCTTTGGTACTGAAATGCGGGGGACACTAAAACGTAACCGTACTAGATCTTAACCAACAACAACGCGCTCGATGGGTTTATTTATAGGTTACATCGTTTTTGCCGGGCAAGGATAACTTGATGCTGATAAAAATTACTGGAGCAAGTGTCAAATTTATCGGAAGCAAGTATATTCAAGAGAGCTTTATAAAAATGAGCTTACTGCTCTACATATCATAACTGAATACAAATGAACACTTCATAACATTTCACTTCGTTTATTTCGATCAGTCAACACCTTGAATCCAAAGTTAAAATTCAAAACGATCCTAAAACAAATCACAACTACTACTGAAAGCTCTGTACCTTGAAGCGACTTTAACTGTCCAAATGTTTCAGCAAAACACTGCTCGATAACTCTGACAACTCTTCGGCGAATCTTAGCAGCTATACAGAGCTATATGTTGCATATTCCAAACTCTGCAAAGGGAAATTGTTTAACAGAAAAAGAAATTCACACACTATGTCTGAAAAGCGACATAAAATCAATAAATTTGCGAATTACCAAAATATAATAGTGAGAAACAGTCTTCTCAAGACCGTTGATCTATGGTTTTTGACGTAATGCGCATGATCAGTACACAAATCCGCTGCCGAGACCCTTGCTGATCGCTTTGCAAGTTGTGAGAACATCGTTTGGATTTCATTTAAGAGAATGTATGGGAAGTAGCTTCCCCGCCCCCCTGGTAGAGACTTACAGTTCAGTTACAGATGTGTCTCACCAATCCAGTACAGTTGACACATGAAAGCAGTTAAATTTATGCATTGAGTCTTTTGTTTCTGATCTTTTTCATTGCACTGTCAGAGTACAACATGTATTAGCTGAAAGATGGTACAATGGTGTCAACTTAATTTTACTTTAAAAATTCTTATAAGCTGGTCATTGAAAACTGGTCACTGAACTCTACTTGATAAGGTCACTTCCTGATTGAACAACTGTTTTTGTGGATATATATCTTGCTGGAATTTTGAATACCTAGCAAAATGTGCAGCCATTTGACTGGAAAGGGCTAAAAGGCTGGTTGTTGCGTGCGATAAACTCGAGAATCACTCTTTAATACGTAGGAAAAGGAAAGGAAAAATAGCATGAGCGAGAAGAAGGGAAGGAGGGTAATCAATCAATAATTACACTCAAAGTTTTTACATTGGCTACTTTGGGGATAGACGGGATAGTTTTTGGCCAAAAAAAAACCTGCTCAAAGAAACAGGTGTATTTGGTAGAACTTGTTTTGCAACATTGCTACAAAACGAGTTAAAAATGTATGTTGTGCGTTTTACCACCCATGTCACGTTCAAACCTGTTTTGCAGCAAACCAGGTTGTTGCAAGTTGCGTGAATACTGCCTTCTGATTGGATAAAATTATGCGAAAGTCACGCCATTCCCCGGATTCACGTCACTTGCTGCAAAACAAGTTTGCCTTAGGCCGGTAAAACGCACAACATGTACAGATTTTGTTGCAAAAGGTAGAACTACTCTCTTCTTTCTGCAACAACCTGATTTGTTGCAAGGCAGGTCTGAGTGGGTTGTAAAGCGCGCGACATCGCTACTCAACTCGTTTTGCAGCAATTTCGCAAAACAAGTTGCGCGTTTTTTGTTGTCCGTTTAGACAGCTAGATATACAAGTCCGTGACAGAGAGTAAACTCACGAGACAATCATCTCTAAAAGTTAGGCACAGAATAATTTTGAACAAGAAAGAACTGATGGAAGAATATATGTCCCCATGAAGAGTCAATTTAACACATAATTTGTCAAGAATCAACTACTTTCTTTTGAAAAACTTTCAGTTCTTTCAAACAGGATAATTTTATTTAGCACATTTGGAAACTCCTCCCCATTACAATATTGTCAAATTCTCTGAAATTCAGACTTAGCTTATTGGCTTTATTGCAAAAGAAATAATGTGACTGTGTACTCGTAAAAAGCCAAATCTACGCCCCGCCGTGCAAGTCTTATGTGCGATATCGAAATGGCCAATGTAAAAACGGGTATTTCAAGTCGCATTATTTCCTGAATGTTCATTAATTATCAGATGGGGTCACAGTGGATACCGAGAGCTCTACCCAGAGGAGTTTGAGGGAAAAAGAAGTGACGAAACTCAGAAATCCAAGATAAAGAAATCGAAAAAAGTTAAAAGGTAGGTTAAACTTGGCTCTGTTTCCGATCTGTAACAAACAGCACGCAGTAGGCCAGTTTCGAATTATAAGAGTTCATGCTTGACCCCGCGGCTGAGGGGTATAAAGCAAAAAAATCGCCTTTGTAAGGTCCTGATTAGAGGCCTTTCGATACTAAGACGGGTACGATTACGATTACCAGATTTTCTCACTACTGAGTAGTGCTTGCGCGTGAACCAACGTCATTTTGGCGGTAAAAAGTGGTATCCGTCGTCATTCTACAACGAGTTTTAGCGTGAGATGTCGCCGGAAGTGACGAAAACAAGATATCAAATGTTAGAAGTTTTATCTTTTTGCGATTGGGAGAGAACGTAACCTCCTTCACTAAAGATAACAGTGCTAACTTTTCTGGTGAAAAATGGTAAAATGAAGCTTTCCGGAAAGTCTATATTTTGAGAATACGCGAAAAAACTTTAAGTCAATTCTCGTACTCAGTAGTCTTCCTCGTCCTCGAATCTAAAGGCCTCTAATAACAACTAGTACCGTGTAAAAGTACTGCTAAGGGAAAGTCGTTTGAATGGTAGCAACAAATATTCCTTTTAATATTCCTTTATTTACTCTCGGCAGTATTTATAGCACTAATGCTAGTGGTGCCGAGCAAATGACTGAAATAAATAATTCAAGTATAATCGAATATAACATGGTTAAGAATATCAACTAGCCGGAGACAAACCAGCTGGCTGTTTACAAGCGTGATGGAGGATATGAACTCGCGCTACCGAGAACAAATCCAGCTAGCGGTCAGGCCGGAACGTGAACTTGGAGCCTTCGAATTGCAAGTCCAGCGGTCTAACCACTCGGCCACGCTGCCTCCTACGATTTGATCCGTAGACTCACAAGTTAGAATCACCTTATAAGAGCTCTTTCGTTCACTCCGGAGTTGAAAGGGTTGATGCAAGTTTCGGATCAGTTTAGACTGCCCACCTACCCCTCCCCTAAGCCAACATCTCGTCCTAAGTGAGATGTATGTGTTATTATTTGCTTAGGGGAGGGGTAGGTGGGCAGTTTCTCAGAAACCTAAATTAATCCCAAGTTTCGCCCCATGTTAGGGAATCCGATAAATTTTTGCTCTTGGAATCCGGAATCTTGGGATTTGGAATTCGGAATACAGCTCAAGGAATCCGGGATTCAACGAGCGATTGGACCCCGGAATCCAAGTTTCACTGACAAAGTCGGCAATCCAGTACCTGGAATCCGGAATCCACGGGCTGGAATCCAGAAAAGAAGACTGTCTTGGATTTCCGTAATTGGGGCGACAAGTTACTTAAAGGAGCTGTGTCACGAAATTCAGCCAAATTAGGAAATTACAAAATGCCCGCTAAATTAAGAGAAGCATAAAAATAACCGCTTAAGACTTTAAAGGAAGGTTAAAGTAACATAACAGAAACAACAGATGCCACGGATGGGCAAAACTGAAGAAGATTCAAACGGATTGAAATTAGGGTTTTTGAAAAGTGTTCAGCCTAACAGTTTTTCAAAGTTGATCCCTGCTGCTTGCAACTTGAAACGTAATGCTCAGGAGACATATTTGTTAGCCTCGGATTTTGTCATTTACATGTAATTTCTTTGTAATTGGCAAAATTAAACAAAATGAACTGGACTGCCGTGACACAGCCCCTTTAAACGGTCCGGTAACACAAAGATACGCCTCTTTTCTTTGCAGATCAGGATCTAATCGACACAGTGCAAGTAAAGAAAAGGGAAAGAAAGTGAAAGGCAAACGGAATAAAACTGAGTCCAGCCCCGAGATTTCTTGCGGAGAAAGTGGAGAAGGGTATGAACGGAAAAGAAAGCGAAAAACTAGGAGAAGCCCCAGCGAAGAACGAGGTCTATCGAACGAGAGGTTACGGAAGAAAGTAACAAGAAAGAAGACGGAGGAAACTTCTGATTCCGAGGCTAGAAAAACTGACGAAGAGAGCAGAGAACGTTTGGACTCTGGGATTAAAAGGAAAGGTATTAGAAAATATAGAATATCAAGTAGAAGGCGTAGAAAAGGTGAAGAGCGAATAAAGAAGAAAAAGGCTAGAGTATTAAGCTCTGACGAAGAAAGTAGTGAGAATTCTGAACGCAGGTCAATAATGAAACGAAAGAGAGGAGGAAGGCACAGTTCTGAAGAAAGCAGTTTATCAAGTGAGTTAGAAGAGAATGAAGGAAAAAGAAGGAGAAGAGAATATAGAGAAGACTTCAAGGATAAAGGCTTTGATGAAGAAAACGAGCGTGATGAAGATGAAGAAAAACAACAGGGAAGTAACGGAAGTGACGGTGAAGAACGTGGCTCAAAAAATAAGGAAAACAGCAGTAGTAGACGAAATGAAAGAGGGGAATTTGGAGCTCAGAGTTCTGACGATGAAAGCGAGAGTTATGAACACCACAAAAGAAAGCGAGAGGATGGTCACAGAAGAAATAGGGAAAGGCAACGTGTTTCTAAAAGGAAAGAAAGCGAAGATAGGACAAACCGAAGGGAAAGAAAGAAATGTATAACTCGAAGTTCTGATGACGAAAGCGAAGAGAATTTTAATGGAGACATAAGGCAACGAAAGGGAGGTCGCGGAAGATATGACAAAGAACAGCATTTGTCAAAAAGGAAAGGAAATGAGAGCACGGGACGAAAAGATAGAGAGGAATTTAGACATCAAAGATCGGACGAAGAGAGCGCTCAGGGTCGTGATGCTGGAAGAAAGCGCAGTCTTGCCAAAAGAAAAGCTAGCGACTCGGATGAAAAACATTCATCAGATGGAAGGAAAGGAGAGTACAAAAGGAAGGACAGTTTTTTATCAGAAGGGCAGAAGATCGAAGTGCCCTCAAGCAAGGACAGAAAAAAGCGAAATGAAAGAGAGCAAAGCAGAGGAAGTTCACGAAAACGAAAAAGAGAAAAACATCGCCTGGAAAGTATTGATAGCGATAGTGAAGGCGTAGACTTACAATCAAGCAGGGACAGAAAAAAACGAAATGAACGAGAGCAAAGCAGAGGAAGTTCACGAAAACGAAAAAGAGAAAAACATCGCCTGGAAAGTATTGATACCGATAGTGAAGGCGAAGACTTACAATCACAAAGAAGGGGAAAATATCGAAGGAAGAAAGAGAATTGAAATTTTAACAAAAGAAAAGAGGAAAAGGAAGCAAGGGATGATTTAGAAAGGGTCGGGAAAAACGATGAGGAAATGTTTGCTCTATTTTACTTCACTTTTGACCTTTAGAGAAATTAAATACTTTTACACAAGTAGTATATTGTTTTACTTTTCTTTTAATCCATGACTTTCTAGGCATGGTCGTTTACTTTATACAATCTGTTCACAGTCTCTGTTTTCTTAGCGAAATCTGGAAAGAACGCCATACATAGCTGGTAAACGAGCCCGATGGGGAGGGGGTAGTGAGGAAGATATTTTGAATTTTGCAATGAATTACGTCACTGATTTCTTTTTCTAGTACTGCTACTACTATCATTATTATTATTATTATTATTATTATTATTATTATTATTATTATTATTATTATTATTACTATTAATGGTAATAAGACTGAGTGGAGTACAATAATAAGGGAGTAATCTGGCGAGTTTTTTGAAATCCCGATTTGAAATTACGAGCCCGATTACCCTTAAGTCCTATTACCAATTAATTATGTTAATGACAAATTGCGAGAATCTCAGTCTTGGAATATTTATTAATGTAAGAGAAATATTCCAAAGCAAAAACATGATCGGTTACAACTTTAGATCGGAATGTAGACGCGCGACCACGTAATGAACTCTTTTTTTTGTATTTAACAAGCTGTCAAAGCCTAAAGAAAAAAATATCTGCTTAAAAGTCACTGGACCAGTTAGTTTCATCCATTTTTCTTTTCCTTGAAGCCGGACAGCTTATCTGGTCGCTATTTTTTTCATTGATTTTGGTTGATTATCATGTGCTATGTAGTTAAATTTCATTGGCCAATGGCATTTGCTACGTGATTTTCATTGGTTCATTACAAGCTCTTGGGAATCGGACAGATTTGGAGTAACAATAGTAAAATTAAGCTATAAATATGGGCTGTTGAGAACCAATCAGATTGAAGCATTTTGTTATTGACAAAATTATTATTGTTGTTGTTATTATTATGATTCTGATTATTATTATTATTATTATTATTATTATTATTATTATTATTATTCTCATTTTAACATAATTATTTGCATTTTTCGTCATTATAAAATTATAAGATGACTGAACCGCAGTAAAAAGAAAAAAAACTAATCTTTTAAAAGGCAATGGCAAATTTTCTTTTGTAATAGACATTATTCGTGTTTCTGGTAACATACAGGGACAAGTTCGCAGTAGAGACTTTGCGAGGAAAACTTTTCACAATTGTGCATGCACACAGTTAATACGACCACCGTGGGGCCAAAAATACTTGGTTAAGATGGCGGAACATATTAACGAGGAGTATGTGTCACAGTTTGGTAAAGCTTTTCTAAACTGTGCGATAACAACTGCACTAATTACTTGGCCTATAAATCTGTTGGCTACGTCATTGGAACGCTCACTGAGGTTCTTCTAGCAACTCAGGGAAAAATTGCTAAGCGTGTGTTAAATTGATTGCTTTCGGTACCTGAGGTCTCAGTCCGAAGCATTCAATCGATTGTATTGTGAAGAACCAAACCGACTGGGGAGACTCTCAAAAGTCGATCGTTGTGTCTCTGTATAGATCGTTTTCACATGACGTCACGGCGGCCATGTTTGTGTACAAAAAAATCCTGTGGGAATTGAACTATTTTAACTTTCTTTTATTCCAAGCAATTTGCAAAGCTGCTGACCACTAGACTGAAAACTAATGGCCTTGTGTTTGCTTTCAAGCCAGTTCACGTTCCTCTCTACTACTGATAGTTAATGAACTTGGTACAATTCCTTGTCCGTGAGATGACATAAAGTTACACTTTAGTTTCGTTCCACCTCGGTCTGTTTGTTTCAGTATCCCGTTTCGTAAGTGTTTCATATTGTTGTAATGAAAACATTAATGCGGAACGGTAGTCTGGAACATCCCACGTTTCATATTAGTTTTAGACGTGTCTCCCCATAACGCTGTAGGAAGAAATAAAAAATTTGAAAACACTAATTAAGTTATTCAATTCAAATATTCCGCACGTACTTAAGGGAAGTTTGGGTCCCGGGGGGCGGGAAAGCGGGGGCGGGGGGTACTCCGGATTGCAGGTGACAGGGATGATCGAAGGATTTTTTTGGGTTTGAAATTTTTTATTTCGGGATTTTTTGGGGTAGCGGAGAATTTTGGCAAGTATTTTCTTTTTTTGGTAGCTTGAATTATGTAGGGATTTTTTGGGGTATTCAAAACCAATGTTACTATTTTTTCGTGTTATATCATTCAATGCTTTCTGGAAATTTTTATCGCGCGAAGATTCGGCAACAAGTAACACTAAACTAGCCAGCTTCAAAAGACGCGGCCTTCATCATCGCTGATAGCTGACCGACTCTGTTTGCTGAAGCCAAGAGACCTTATTTCATGACTCAAATTCATGTTTTCTCCGAATACAGAACTACGTCACTCATTTTAATAAACGTCATGAAACTAGGTTTTTGGAGAAAACTGTTGATACTACCTACGCCAGCCTTCAAAATACACCCTTTTCAAGACGGCAAATAATGAAATTGTGATGTATACCCCGTTTAAGACTCAAGACCCTGAAACTGTATACCTGTTCAGCCGCATTCACTTGTTTAGGCCAAATAAGGGAGTACCCCCACCCCCTGAGTCTAAAATAAGCATTGGACACCAAATAAACTGGAACTGTTGATATTTCCTTTTAGCTTCAGACTTCACACTAAATACATACCTCCCTACTAGGCAGATATACACGTAACTAACTTGGGAAACTAAAAACCGTTATTCTATTTTAATTTAAGAACGTGGGACAACAAAACTAATACGTGCTAAAATGTTCAGTTTCATTATTACTAATTTATTTTTGTTTTTTGCGGGGGAGGGGAGGGTGTTCAGTTTTCTGAAGGTGTACTGAATCAGGGAGCCAATTGCGATATTTCATTCTCATTTTCCCTATCAATTCTATTTTTCTAATACAATGGTGATGACCGTATAACAGCAGTGATAACTCAAGCAGGCATTTCTTTCATTTCGCAGCGTTACTAGGACTCCAATAAATGAAAAATACTTATTATATTAACCAGCTGTGAATAACTATCATCTCCGTAGTTTATTTTTAGTGAACGTTTATGTTGTCTTGTTTTAGTACAGTATTTGTAACTGGGGCAAACCATCATGGTTAATAGAGGGAATGGTTATGAAACCTGACAAAGTTCTTTGTTGTATGATTTTGTTCTCTTTTTTGGCCTTGACCCTGCACAAAACACAATAGTTGTTTACTCCGTACTGAGGAACTAACCAATAGAAACGTGCTGGTTACGTAATTCATGCATAACGTATGAACGCAAAACAAAAGATTGTGCAGGGTCGTGGACCTTCTAACATAAATCTTGGCATCTTTGTTTGCTCCTTTGATGTTTGCCGGGCTTTATAACCAGTCACCTCCATTAACTATGGGCAAACTACTACAGAGATTGCGATTAATTGAGTATGTAATTATGCGTACGTATAAGTAAATTATGTTGTACTTCAAATTTCCTTGGTTTAAATTTTATATCCTTTGTTTTGGGGTATGGTAATGTATGATAAAGAGTTTAAACAAAGGAAAATTAAATTTAATTTAGACCAAGGATAAAATTGAACTGCAAGATATACACGTATTTATTCTTCGCAATAGTGTGGAGAAGGCTGCTTATCAGAATGGGGAATTTCGCTATTCCTTCCCATAAGACGCTGTGGTCAAGCCTTCAAACCAAAGTTAATTTCGGATTTGTCGTTTAACAAATTTTCACAGTTAACTTTGGCTATTATTTTATTCGTGAACGCATCCCATTTAAAGCATTTGTTTTTTTTAGCTTAGCAAAACTGGTACTGGCGAAGGATACAGTTTTTATTCCCCGGGAAACCACTTTGCATGGACGTGACTTGAGTAAAAATATCTGCATCAACAACCCGCTATAAAAAAATATTTGCAAATGATGAACATCAATTCAGTTTGAATTACTTAACTGCTTATTACCAATATTATCCAATGATTATTGGATTACGAGAGATTACGATAACTAACGTAGCAACGGGTTAATACCGCCTGACATGCCCTGAGAATCGTATTTTTCACGGACGTGACATGTGAAAATCAACTTCCAAGACTCTGCAAACAGTCCAAATCGAAACAAGTAATTTAAAAAAACGTCGAATTTGCATATTCTGATCGGAAAGAAAAATAATCATCCACTCAATTTTTAGAATAGACTCATGTTCGGCGGTGTCTATTGTTTTTCTTTAACTGAAGTGCTCTAGTGTGAGTAGCGGATTGCCGAGTCTATTTTTAAACCTTAGTTTCAATTGTATGACAACATATCAGTACGGAGCACGCAGATTAGACAAAGTCAACACCCAAGGAGTAGAGATTTAAGCATCTTGATTAATACCAAGAACAGTAAAACGAGAAAGTACTGCGCAAGTAATTTTCATTTTAGTGGTCACGCTTAACGATTTCATCCCGAGACGTAAATGTCAGCAGGGAACAACAAGCTAAATACCACAGCAACGAAATGCAAAGTGATTTACATAATTATACGCACTTTCGAATTTCATCCTCAGACTAACAAAGTAAACTATTTTATTTGGCTTTTACAAAATACTGTTAAACACCACAGGAAAGAGCCGCTCAGTATATTTTTAATTTGAAGTGGGTGGGTGTGGGCCTGTCGGATTATTTCACCAAATATAGGTTATAAAGCCCTGTAACAAAGCCATTCCTCACAAAAAGGATATCCTAGTTGTTTAATTTGAACTAAAAGAAAACAACAAAACAAAGCAATATCAATACTCGGACACCATTGCCGATTTCGCCGAAATTAAAGGTGCATAAAAAATAATTCTAAAAATATATTGTGAGCGGTTTTGTGATACTTCTACAGGAGTTTAGGTGAGGAAGACATATAACTTTCTATCAACAGAACAAACATTTCTAACGAGAATTCATTAACTGCTTCACTTCCCTATCTTCGGGAAACGAAAGAATTGACAGGCAGGTTATTCAGTTTATTTTCAAACAGTTGAAATACGTGATTTTGTTGTGGAAGTTTGGGTCTTAAAAAAACCTCTGCAACGGCTTTTTTGGGGGTAACGTTTGCTGACGCAATTTATTTTTGCGCGATATATGGTTCCTGCTTGATAACTGAGTTTCATGGTTTCATGTGCGATGCAGAACGGAACTAAAAGGTCAGGCTTAATGGTCTTGAGTCCAGTAGACTCGGAATATAAATGATTGAGATTTTGTAGTAAGTCGAAGGCAGGTAGAAGTTGGAATTCTGCTATCTTCTTCTCATGTCATTTTTATTCACTTGTATTCAAGTTTTTAGCGAAAAGGGTGCAGTGTTAAGAGGTTTACAAGTTCCCTAACTTTTGAATAATGCTGAGGATAGGAAGTCTTTAAAGAACGGTTATAACATTTTATTTAATTTCCGACTTCAATTCAGTTTAGGGCGTTGGAAGCACGTTGGAAGTAATAAAGCTAAATTCAGAGAATTCCCCGAATCAACCGACAACACAGTTTTTTAGCTGCAATAAACTTTTTTTCCTCAAGAAAAATAATTTCGAAATACAGTTATCTTGAACATGAATTGACTGCAGGAATGGGCTTGCCCGTGAAAAATATACACTCCCTCCTTTCTCCATGCTGTTTAGACGATTTGTTTGACGTCATTATTTTTCCGGTTTTTTGTTTAAATTATGTTCCGCTTGCAGCACAACCAGAAAACACTTCTGGGAAGGGGTGAGACTCTAAATTGTTTAACATGCGCGGAAACAAATGGTCGCTTTTCCGCTGGAGTTAAAGCATCGAAATATTCATAGCCTTGGTTAAACTTCATGTATTGGCAGTCGTTTACGATTGTCATGAATTTTTTTTAGGTTAATGGTGGTGTTTGATTAGTGGAATTTACTATCTCTCTGTGAGAATCGTTTTGTCGTATCCGGTCGTGCAAGGGCGCTGAAACACGTGACTATTCCTTATAAAAGTCGCTTGTCAGCAAACTTACTTTAGTCTCCACGAGGTTTCAGTTGTGGGCGTATTTGGTGTCGATCCTTAGTACTTTGGGTAGCGTTTTGAAACGTTTAAACGGTTGCTTCGAAGACTTTTAAGACAAGAATGACCCAAGAAACCACCGAGAACGAAACAGACGAATTTTGTGACGAGAAGATGGGGTAAGTTCATTCATTATCCGTACTTTGCTTGAAGCTATAAAGTTGATGATGCAAGCTGAAATTGCGTCGGCGGCCGGCAATGTTTTCCCGGTTTTCTTTGTTGAGCTTTTTCTCATTGTGATCCAAAACAAGGATTCTTCGCTTCCTTCCACAATTTTTTGTTAACTAAAGGAAAGGGGAAGGTTGATATGTTTGCAAGCAAAAATTTGTAAATCGAAGTTCGCTTTGTTTAACGCTCGTGACTGTCACCGTGGATCGCTTCCAGTCCCTGATTGTACGAGTACAAGTTGAGTGAATTGGTTCAAAATAGCTCACTTAACAGATTTCGTGTAAATTTTCATTTTTTCAAGTTTCGTTAGGTTTCATTTTGGTTATCTATCTCTCTTCCAATTTCCAAGTTTTCGCTCGTTTTAATGTTGATTCGTGATGTTTTTCCGGGAACATGGAGTTAGGTAATTTCGTTGACGCGACTAAAAATCCTTTGTGTTCTTACAGGCGTGTTTGTTGCAGTTTCTTGTGAAACGCTCGATAAAAAGTACCCGTTGGAATTTTTTTCTTTGGAAAGAACTTCAATTTTGATGTAATTTTCCCTATCCCTGGTAAAATACTATGACGTGTGAAATTTACTATATTGTACTAAAATCATCACCTGACCTTGCGCGCTGTCGCGAAGTCACGGGAGTGTATGTGTTCGTGCTCAGAATTAATACAATATTTTTTTGTTTTTTTTTTTTTTCGTTTTGCTGGTGCATATTTGTAAAAAAATACTCACAATCGGTATTTTTTCAGGATAATCACTGCATTTTTTTTTCAAAAATATAATATACTATTTTTCTTGAAAACGTGGTGATGTAACTTGTATCAATTATGAACAAGACAGAGCAAGGGGGTTTGATGAGTCATCTTGTTTACATTTTCAGTGATATGGTCAACAGACTCAAGGTCATTTGGGCGTTACAAGAAGTTCTGCATCAAAGCGAAGCTCAAGGTCATTTGGTGTGTGGCGTCCATAATGCAGCTAATGAACTGGCTGTGTAAGTACTGGTATTATGACTTCTGGTTTGGGGTTTAGTCAGTTTATGTAAATTAATTTAAGACGGAATCCATCAGGAAGTAGAGTAATTTCAATTTTTAGTGGACAAAAACCTTGTGCCAAAATAGTTTAAACAATATCGCATACTTTTTTACATTTTTCAAGGGCTATGGATATAATTAGTTATATGTGACCCTTCATGCGAAAAGGGGGCTTATGGATTTCACTAAAAACCGTGAATTTTTTTCACGGTCACGGTGCGTGAATTAGAGTTTTCACAGCGTGAATTTCAAATTCCACGCCCGTTCACTCCTTGCGAGAATTTTTCACTCTTGGCGTGAAACTGATCATGTTGCGAAAGATCAGTGAAGACTTCCACGCCGTGAAATTAAGAGTGAACACATTTTCACGCCGTGAAACATGTCGACGGTGAATGAAATCTAACCTGTTTTTTTTGTTTTGTGTTTTTTCTCGCCCCTTTTCGAGCTGGAAAAAAACGAGAATACCTGGTCACGTCAAGCTAAATTTGTGGAAGTTGATCCCACGCAAAAAATAATATTTCTCTCAGCATATTCAAGCCGTTTTAAATATAGAAAAGCGTATTCAGACTATTCCGCGTTCAGGCCTGTAAAGCCACAAATCACAATCAAACTAGTCACAATTTCTTGTCGATATTTTTATGTGTTCATGGCAAGTATTTTATTAGATATGCACGATCGGAACTGCGTGTGTTTCATGTTCATTTGCATTGTTTACATTGTCTGTAACTGCAACAGTCGGTGACTTTTGGCTCTTTTTTTTCTTCTCCTCAACGTGCAAATTTTCCCAATGTCGATGTCAGAGACGATTAGTTATTTACCAAACATGGCAAGGTTTTCACCTAACGAAATTCTTTGCGGAAAGACTAACTATTACTGCCATTCCTAAAACCGGGATAATTGTCGTCTGTGTCGACGCGCATTGCAGTGAAGTGACTGATCTTATCTTCAGTTTTGTAGCCCCATCATCATCCATCACACGCGCAAACTCTACTTGATTTATCATGCTCCATTTCAAGTTCCTTGTCTCATTGTTAAATGTTATACTCAAAATTTCGCCGTTACAACGATCTGAACAGAAGGGTAAAAATGAAATAAATCCAAAAGATATCACGCAATATCAAAACATGCGTTACATATTTCTTCATCTTGTCGCCACCGAGTCTAGCATTTGCATAACTTCATGGAAGAGATAAAAGCTTCCAAATTCTTTTAAATTTTAAACGATACTTTGGTTGTAAATTTAGAGAATACAAAGACGGAATCATGCAGTTGTTGATTATCTTCGGCGATCTTCGGTGTCTTTTTTTAGCGATTTCATCTGTTTTGCCGAAAATCAAAAATCAAAAAGTACTGACCAGTACATGTTACATTCATCTGGGCAAATAAAGGCTTGCATGACATCTAAACAATACACTTTTGAAAACAATGTTACATTAATTTTCATTTTGACTGTTGGAAGATTTTCACGGCGTGAAATTAAATTTCACGGTGACTGAAATTTTTCACGGCATGAAATATTTTCACGGCCATTATAAACTTTTTCACTGCGTGAAATTTTCACGGTAGCCGTGAATTTTTCACGGCGTGTTCACGGCGTGAAAGAGAAATTTCACTCACATTCCAAAAATCTTTCTTACTTTCACGGCCTGGATCGTGAAAATAGGCATAGCGTGAAATTTAGATAAGCCCCCAAGTCGCGTGAAGGGTCACATATGTAGTAACATTGAAGACTATTTCTCATAGGGGCCCAAGAAAATAAATGCCAAATTTCACGAGAATTGTGAAAACACAGGTTAAGTTCTGAAAATTCACGTGTAAGATGTCATTTTGTGAAATTCGACATTTATTTTCTCAGGCTCTCATAAGAAGTATTCTTGGGTGTTATTAGCTAATTACATCTCTCACCCTTGAAAAATGTAAAAAAAGAATGAAATATTGTTTAAATCATTCTGGTACAAGGTTTTTGTCTGAAAATTAAAATTACTCGATTTCCTGGTGGCCCAGGGGCCCCACTCACATATTTTAATGACGGGGGGGTCTGAAGGATTTTTTTGGGTCTGACATTTTGGCCAAAAGGGATTTTTTTGGGTCTATGAAAGACGCCGGGATTTTTTTGGGTAGCGAAAATAACAGAGGGATTTTTTGGGGTACTGTATTTTTCATCAGCTCAAATCAAAAATAACATAAGCGTAATTTAGAGTTTTGTTTTTGACCAAAACCAAAGTTGAAGTTGGCATGTTTTAGCTTTCCAGAAGATAAATAATAAAATTTGCTGATGTAAAAACACTGAGGGATTTTTTTGGGTATGCTAAAAAAAGTACGGATTTTTTTGGGTATTAAATATAAACCTCTGTCAGACCCCCCCGTCATTAAAATATGTGAGTGGGGTCCCTGGGCCTGGTGGATTTCATCTTAATTATCATTACTTAAAGGGGCTGTGTCACGGCAGTCCAGTTCATTTTGTTTTATTTTGCCAATTACTCGCCCTCAATCACTATGGAACTTAAAGTAAGCAAAGAAATTACATGTAAATGAAAAAATCAGAGATCCGAGACAAGCAAAATATGTCTCCTGAGCATAATTTTTGAAGTTGCAAGCAGCAGGAATCAACTTTGAAAAACTGTAAGGCTGAACAGTTTTCAAAAATCATAATTTCAATCCGTTTCAATTTTCTTCAGTTTTGCCCATCTGCGGCATCTGTTGTTTCTGTTACGTTATTTTAACCTTTTTTTTTTTAATGTTTCAAGCAGTTATTTTCATGTTTCTCTTAATTTAACGGGCATTTTGTAATTACCTAATTTGGCTGAATTTCAAGACACAGCTCCTTTAATGGCATGCTGTTATTATGATAACATCCTCAGTTGTTCAAAAGGTGGAAAGCACTATCCACTATCCACTATCCACTATCCACTATCCACTATCACTATCAATGGGAAAATATCTTACTACTGAATAACACAACATGTTTTTGGACCGATTAGTTGGATTTTACTAAAACAATTATTCCTCTTGCCCTCATGGGCTATTGACTCAGAGCCCATTCGGGCTCGAGGAATAATTGTTTATCATTATCATTATTATTATTATTATTATTATTATTATCATCATCATCATAGCTAAGGTAGTTTCCTGCTATTCTATTGCAGAGATCAGGAAGCAATAGGGCTCTGTATACTGGTAGAAAATCCACGTGCAGATCCTGGTACACAGGTTCATTGCCGACTAATAGAGGCCTACTGCTGGGAATGTGCCATTCCTGTTATTAAGGTAAGATACGCTTCAATGCTACCTTCTTCAGTGATAGATCGGAGATCAAGTACTGAAAATGTCAGAATTTGGAAACAATATGTTGCTACTGAAGTGAAGCAGAAAGCTATTGAGGTTGGATCAGGAGTTTATGAGATCTATAACTTCTAGGTGTACCATTACACCCCCCCATCCCCTTTATGTGCAAACCTGTCATCAATATGTTCTTTTACATTGTTTATTAAATGAAAAGGGAAATATCAAAATAATCTGTCCCTTTGCCTTGTTTTCAGGTAAATGACAGTCGAAAGCTACACAAGATGACAAATTACCATGGCACTCTGAGAGAACCTCTAGATTGCGTTCTTGTGAAGGTATTAGCAGTCAAATTTCTAAATATTAGAAATTTATCACTATTAATTATTATTATCAGTATTATTATTATTATTACTATTATTATCATTATTATTATTATTATTATCATTATTATGATGATGATGGCAGTACAAACATCTGGATGCCCAGAGTAAAAAATAAAAGCTCTGCTTGGGTGGCAAACCGTAACCAGCCGCAGCATCGACTAAAATTTGTAGTAACAATTACACAATAATTTAAGCAAAAAAAAAAAACCTGGTTAAAAATGATTTGATGAAAGTGTCATAAAATAAATTAAAAGAAATAAAAAAAAGAAAATTCCTACAAGCTTTATGGAGGTCTTAATTATAAAACAAAAGTGTTCATAAGTTAAAAACCATTGTTGATCATATAGCTGTTCATTAATTATGAGAACGTCTAAGGTATGTCAATACAATTTTGATAATGTACAAGATTGAGTAACTATCTGTTAAAATAGGTGTCCAAAATTCCAAATAATTTATTATTATTATTATTATTATTATTATTATTATATGTTATTTCTGTTCTTTGTAATTTTAGGTGCTAAGTGAGTGCTTTTGTTTTTTTCTCACAGAACCTGGTAACACAGACAGATGCTGTTTCCACAGTGCTACAGTTTTCACGGCATGCTCCAGCTCCACTTCTTAAGATCAAATAAAGGTTCCTAGATGCAATGGATGGTACACAAATTGCATAGCAAAATATTCCAGTGCTATGATCAACAAAAGGGACAGTTTCAAGTCAGGCTTTGGAACGTTGCCATCAGAAGACAAAAAAAAAACAAAAAACATACTTGTAAAAGGGCTTGCTTGCTCAGGTCAATAATTAAATTACAGTAATGTTGGTTTAGAGTTTAATGCAGTAGCAGATCTAAACAAAAATGTTTACACTAACTGACTCCCTGAGCACTGTATCGCTCAGTTAAAAGAAAAAGAAAAGAAACACCAACAAAATTTAATAACAATGTAACTCTGCAGGATTGCCAAGCAGAGGAAAAAAATAAAGCAATGAATATTACCAGTTAGACAAATTTGTAAGGGCTTCAGAGTTGCCCAAGTTTTGTTTAGT